AGTTCGCAATAATTAGAATTAGTTATAATAATTGAAATTTAAAAAAATTAATTTTTCTAGACAAAAATGGTCAATATAATAAGAAAAAAACGAAAACCCGTTAGGCGGATGCCCTTCTCGTTATAATATCGCTCATACTTGGAGAGGCTTTCTTAGAGGCGTCTACCAACCAATTTTTAAAAGTATCGAAAAAATCAATTGTTTTTTGGACCCACCCTAATATGTATTTCTTTATAACCCATACACTGACCGACAGATTCGGCAAAGTTTGTTAGGAACATGAATATATTTGTTCATATAGTATTCCTCACATGCCATCGCCAATCATACAAGTATGGAGTAAAATCACCCGGTAGTTCGAAAATCTTTGTATGAGGCATATGGGGGMTCAAAAAAATATTGATCCGATTCACCTCATTTGTAGTATAAAGTATAAATGCATAAAGTCGCTTTAGTCCCATTTTGCCCGTTTCCACACTATAACAAAAAAAAAACAGAGGAATGTCACACAACAAATTTGGTTGAAATCGGTCGAACACGTCTCRAGATATGTGTTTTCACCTAAAAGTGGTCCGTGCCTTCCAGGCTCCATTAAACTGCACTCAGATAACTTCGGTGGYAAAATTTAATGTACAAGCATATGGCATATTTAATTATTGATTACTCGCGCTTTTAATAATTTTTAATAGTACCGTTATATGCAAAGTGAGTGTTACCATTCGATTTAATCCATTTTTACAAGTTGTTGTAGCTTAAGTGGTTTCAGAGATATGTACATTAAAGTTGTTAAAGGGCGGGCCATCATTACGTGTCACGTTGCTTGTCCGAGCTAAACTCTTAAACTACTAAACCGATTTTAGCAAAATTTAGCACACTGTACGCACTGTTTGAACGAAATTAAGAGATAGGATACTCATATMTCAATTATGCTTAGAGACAAACCAATTAATGTGGTTTAGATTCATTATTTTTTCCATTAAAAATCTGRAAATACATTTCCTCCCGATTCCATGTGCTGAATACGTTTCCTCTGAGCGGCAAAGGTCGCTACAATTCGTCCACTCTTTTTCTTGTATCTCGCAAAACCAAACTCTTTCCAAAGGGCAATCAGTCAAACAAATCGCCTAAGCACTCATTGGCGATGGTTATTCGAGCGCACGAAAAGTACACATCAATCTATAATTTTACCCCCCAACAGCATGCATGTGCGTGTGTGCGTGTGTTTTGCTGTTTTGTCAGAGTTGACCAACTGCAATGAAGTACAATTTATTTAGTACATTTTTCAACCCAATTGCAACAACATCAACCATTCAATGCATATATGAGGAGCTGCCTGCTGCTCCTGCCGTCATTCCGCATCCTGCTAGGCAAATTCTGCTCACCACCCAGAACTTCTCGCTGTGCCGTACACAATAAATTTGATTTATGAAACAACATCGGAAAACGGGGAAAAATTATATAAAAAATGAAAAATAAAAAGCAACAACAAAACAGTTCAACTTGCACCAATCTGTTGTCTGTCCAGTCCGGCTCTTTGTTGCCTGCACGTTTTTTAGTTATTCATTGCCGCCGCAGCGCAATGATGTCGATGGCGTGGGCGGCCGCGCYCACATGCACGCTCACCGGGGCAACGGCGGGCACACATGCGGTGTGCCTGTGTTGTGGCAGCAATAATTTTTAATCACATCAATGATGGTTGCCACAAGTCTGTTGCATGCAACATCGTTATGATGTAACAACAACGAACGCGAGCACAGTAATGCATGCAAGCACAACACCCGAGGCAGCACGAAGGCACCGGCAAGGCATCAAACCGGATGTAAAAAAGGAAAATTAAAGCAATTTGTAAGCCTCATAAATCATGCGCCAGCGCTAACATAAAGCCAACGCAAGACATACAATATTTATTTGCCACTAAATTCACTTTTCCACAAGCAAACACATATGTACATGTTCGTATGTGTTCGTGTGCGTAAATGTGAAGCATAGCAAATTGAAAATTACAGGCGCAGGGAAGTATTGCTCAATTATTTATGAGAAATCATCATACTGTTACTTAGAATATTCCTCAGTGGAACACTAAGGCTTCCAAGCATGCGAAAACATATTTTGCTGTATATTCTGAACATATTGTATATTGTTGACCTTACTTTTCAATTAAATAAATACATTAAAGTTATTTTAAAGTGTAGTTTTTATCTATCTTCCCACACTTTCTGGACTGAGCCATTTCGTGAGATAACACGTTCACCAAACTTGGTTTTCAATAATTCGAGTTTGACTTTTGATGTGTGGTTTGTGGCCGTACTATTAGAACCACATGTGGGCCAAATATATTCGGTTATCATTAAGCGGTAGCTATTCCCATTCACAATAACGTGCCGGTCTTGGTCATCGCTGGAGAAGTACGGCTCAATGACGCCGACGGGTCATAAACCGCAACAAACTTAATTTTTTCGGACTCAATGGAGACTCATGGAGTACGTGTGGATTGCTGCCTGTCCAATAACGCATATTTTGCTTAGAAATGAGGTTCATCGATGAGGATGATCTGGATCATTTTCAACTTGTTGCAAGATCTTTTCGCAAAATTCACCACAACGACATCACAGAGGTGCCCACTGCTTGAGAATGRCGTGTGAAAGTCTGATTCCTCTTTGTCTCACTGACAGGGGAACATTTTGTACTGTGCCTGTGAATTAAAATTGTTCCACTAGACACTCAATTGTTGTTCTAACAGGACGATTATGTCGAGCATAATTTRGATGCAACACTCTTAAAGTTGAGGCCACTGACTCCGAATTTCGGTAGTAAATTTTAATAATTTCGACTCGTTGTTGGATCGTACATCTTTCCATAATGAAATAGCRAACCTTACTGAAGAGAAATGACAAAAGAGCACGAAAAAATATGGTGTCGTTTGATGTCACTATCGGATTACTTATGTAGCGTCGCTTTTGTAAAACCTTCCTTATATTCCTGACATTGTCTCTGACTTTTCCTCTCCAATTCTGAAAACATCATTGAAAAGTTAAATTGCCTGATTTAGGATATAATTCCAATTAGAGATGACAATATGATGTCATCATAAATATGACTATCTAGTAAACTCCACTTTCAATACTGAGCGCTACCCGACAAGCTGTGAGAACGAATATYGCCAAATATGGAAAAACCCTACAGGCGTCAACTTTTGTAATGCAAGTTTCGCAATTAAAAAGTATGTAGGCCAATAGGAGCATAAAATAAATTTGCTCACTCGGTTAAATTGAGTTACATAATTATGTTTTTATAAATGAGCCCAGTTTATAGTTTATGTGCATGTGTGCAGTTKTAGTTTTAGTACATATGTATTTTCTCAAGAGCGCACAGTGGACGAAATTAGCAAGCTTGCCGGGATTAATTCAAATTTAAAATTGCGATTATATTTTTTTGTTATTCGATGGGCAATTGATCACTGCAACTGCTAATAATTTTTATTTTGTTTTTCTATGTATCACACAGCTGGAAGCTTTCAAAATTTACTTATGACGCAACAAATGTAAGTATAGATTTTTCCGCTTTCTTTGGTAACAGTTTATATATGGAAAATATATAATTTTTTTAAATGTTTGATGGCATTAGTGTACAGGAATAGGAATAGTGGAGAGCTAGCCATGGAATATTAGCAAGTATTAGAAGAGCGCAGCAAGGAGTGGTTGGACGGAAATTTTGTGCTTCCTGCACTACAAGTAAATATGTCATCTGGGTGTCCAGTTATGCAAGTAATACACGAGTAAGAAAGGTTGGTTCTAATACAGCACTTACAGAGTTCTACATACCTCCTCATTTCAAAAATTTTTTTTCATGGAGCGGATACAATAGAAAATTGTTTCGTTACTGCCGGCAGCAACAATCCGAAAAATTTCTACATTGACTACAGAGGAAGATCTTTTGTCCACTTTGTTGGTTTCTTCAGACCCACAACATCACCAAAATYACAAACAGAATTATTAAATTGGACGAATAGGTGCAACTGTTACTTTCAGACCTTCTTGCAATTGTCCTTCTGAGACTTCTAACCCCGAATAATTTTTTTGGTGTCGGAAGCATAAATTACTA